CAAAGACAACCCTCGGGATAATCCAAAGACACAAATTGAATTAGGGTTAAAGGGATAGATGCACTATCGAGCACTATCTAAATATCTAAATACTACTAAATATGGAATCCTAGCATGTTTTAATGTACACCTTAAAGTTTGCATATCCCAATTATTGTACCTATCCTTCATTATCATAAAAAGACTATCCAAAATCATGCAAAAGCAACATTACAATCGACTCTAATAAGACATTTTGCCAATGGCAAAGTATCATGTTAGCCAAGTTCATGCATGATTTGTATGATTATACTTTCTAACACTTCTTTTAAGAAAGTAAAAGGCAAATAAAGAAAAATGTTCAGTTAATAGAGCAATAAAAAATCTTGTAGACGAAAGAGATAAGGAAAAGCATTTAGCCAACAAAGCCCTAAAAAATCTTGTGGCCAACATGAAAATACCTTCATTTGACCAATGTAAAGGAATAATAATTGCAATTTGCAACATTAATCTTCAAGACAAAAACACTCCGTATTCAATCAAAATTAATGGGTAAACAATATAATATAATAAAATAGAAAAGAGTAGACTTGGTGTAACAATTGGCTGGTGGTGGTCTATCGAAGAAGTCGATTGTAAGAATTGAGGTCGTTGCTCAACTTCGAACAACAAGCCGGTAGTGGTCTATTGGAAAAGCTGGATTCGAATGGGTTTTGTTTTAAGCTTTCAAATGGGTTTCGATTTGACATTTCAAATGAAAAATTGAAAGCAAAAGAAGAAGAAAGGAAAAGGAAAAGGAAAAGGAAAAGATGGAAAAAGAAAATCAAACAAAATATAAAAGCAATTTAGCTGGGCAAAGAAGATAAAAAAAAAAGAGAATTTGTGTCTTGTGTTATTGGCAGAAAAGGGTTTGAAAATTTCATTCAATTTGGGGACAATTTAGCAGCAATTGTATGAACAGACACCACTAAGTGTTATCAATAAAAGCGTTTACTATAACAAATGCCATTAAATATTACTCACACGCTACATTTCAAGTTTGAGAAAGTTTCAGAAAATTATATTTTCAATTTAATAAAATTTAAGAACTGTTTAGTGATATTTTACTTTATAAAAGTTACAAAATTTTAATGATTAATGGCATTTATGGTACAAACATTGCTACCATTGTAAAACCATTGAAGTTGGTAACATTTTATGAGTGAAATGCTGCTAAAATATTGCTACCAAATATACCCATTTTCTTGTAGTGTTTCCTCTCTTCCTGCACTATCCAATAATAATAATAAAAAAAAGGCAACCATGTTTTATGAAATGGCAAAAGATTCAACCAAAAATAATAGTGAGGAAAAGATTATAGGAGGCCACTCAACATGTTTTAATATTGTGGGCATATATCCCTTATGGGAGACAATATTGGCTAAACTTCAGCATACATTAAACCATTTTATTAAGTATGAAAGGTATGCTATTCTTCCTCCTTCTACCCTTTCTACTTTAAATCATGCCAAAGGAAAAAAAACTCTTGTGACCTTACAAAGCAAAGAATCTCAAAGATTTTGAGCCCAACATGAATCTTCTAGATAATGTATATTATACTACAGTTGTGGACTATTTTAATAGTTTTGGTGTAGAGAGAGATATATGAGAGAAACACAAGCTTCATGTTATCATGCGAAATGGGAACCCATTTAAATATATTTTTATATGGGATAGTTAAATAATGGTGCTTTGGATAATCATAAACAAACTCATAAGATATATCTCTTGCTTTGCTTTCACATTAGGGATAGGATCCTCTGAAATGTGGATGGATGCAACTCCATGGAAAAAAAAAATTCTTACTAGTCTTCTAAGTGAGCTTGATTTCTTTTTACTTAAAAAATTTTTCTATTGGAATGTATTTTAATCTCTTTTTTTAGAAAATAATTTACGTTATTATTATTATTTTTTTTATATTTGAGGTTGTTAGGATTTAAACCAACTAAAATGATTGTTCTCATTTCAAAGCTTTTCAAGGATGTGCTGGACAGAATATATATTGCACACTTAGGATATATTTAGTATACAACATTATAATAGGATAGAATAAGATTATATTATGAATATGATTATAATATAATATCATCCTATATTGTATTTGATATGTGCAAGGATTAAGATAAGATAATTTATTTATTAGTCAAAATTATCCTTTCTCAAAGTATATAATTTAAATTATTATTACAATTTTTAAGAGTATAATATGACATGTAAGTTCAATCTCATATATTAAAGATAATTCTCTTCACTTTGGAATGATTAAATCATTTATACCAAGAGAATGATTAATCCTCCTTATAATCTTATCTTTTTTTTTACATAAAATCAAACATAATATAAGATGATTATCATCTTATCTTATCTATCATCCTATGTCCTATACACCAAACATGATCGTAAAATCTAATTAATCTAACCTCGTTGTTTGATTAGTGGAACAGTCTTTGTCTGGTCGACTTTGGAGTCATTCTACAAACTTTATATATTATATATATATATATATGGACTAGCCAAACAAGTATATAAACAAAAAAAAAAAAAAAAGGATGATGAAAGATTGATTAAGATATCAAATTATGATTGTGATTGGCTAATGGGAGTTAAAAGATAGTTCAATCAATGTGGAAGGCCTAAAGAGATAACCCCCGTCCACTTTTACATAGAAAAAAAGCATGATCACATCACCAAAACTAAAAAGACAATGGGCATTCTCTTGCAATCTGGAAGCCACGTTATGGCATAGTCATCTCCACTAAATTGACACACCTGACATGAAATAGTGGGCATTCATGCAACAACTGATTTGCTAGTTTTTGATTGTATTAAGTGGATTATTTCACTTTCTCCCACCAAACATTCCTAAAGTTGTTGGCTTTAAGAATCCCCTCTCTTTCTCTTTTAGTGTAGCGCCTATGGTTTTAATTTTTGTGATTAAGAACGTTAATTAGTAAATTAATTTGCAAAAACTGGTATAAAACTATTACTACTGACTTCAATCTTTTTTTTTTTGTAAAAGAGAGTATTTGTTAAATGGTGCATTCAATTTTTGTCTCCAATTAAAAACGACAGTATGATTTGGATGAAATGTTATTGGCATTTTAAGTATAGACCTTTAAGAATGAAGACAGCCTTAAATTTGTTTGAATTAGTTAGGCAAAGCCTGTCATTTATGATAACATCCATTAATCCAAGACAAAAAGGGAAAAGAAAGGGATACGAAGAAGCTTTCATATTTGGATCGAGAAGTTGTTGTAAAAGTTTAACTTAAGAAAAAAAAAGAAAAAACTACATCCGCATTTGATATTTTTGTATGGATAAACATTTTTTCATAAATTTATATATGATGCATAATCAACATATAAATACTATAAATTATTAATATATTGTAAGTTGTCATCTCATTAATAAATAAAATTCAAACTTAAAAATATGAAAAATTAAAGCTATTTTTAAAGATTATAAATTTTTTTGTCAAAAAAATTCTAAAATTTTAAATTTACTAATAAATGATATTGCTATTATAATTATAAGTTTATAACTCTCTCCCCCACATTTTGACTCATTTGTGACACTACTGTAACCACTCATCAAGGAAACAGGTTTATGTTTAGGCCTTTTTAGGCCCTAAAATTAAATGACTTTAAGGCCTTAAAAGAACACTTTATGAAGGCACAACTGAAAAAAAAAATTCACCAAAAAAAAAAAAAGATTTACTATTAGATTAATAATTAGAATTAGATAAGAAAATTTTGAAAATATTAACAGTCTTGGTTTCGTTTGTATTGTAAAAAATAATTTTTAAAAAATATTTATATTTTTTGAATTGAAAATTTTTTTTTGTTATTAGGATGAGTTAATAAAAATATTTTTTGTGATTGTTTTTTGAAAAATTTATTTTTAAAAAATAATTTTAATATAATTATTAAAATATTAAAAATTATTATTATTAAAATATATTTAAATAATTTATTATTAAAATTATTAATATTAAAAATCATTATATTTTAATAATAATATTTAATACTAAAATATTATGTTAATATAAAAATACTTAAAATAAACTATTTATTATTCTTTATATTATTTATGGATATATTATAATATTATTTATTAATAATATTTATTAATATATTATATTAAGAGTATATTATTTATTAATATATTATATATTATTTATTAATAAATTATAATATAATATTATTTATTTATGTAATATTATTTATAAATAAAATTATACTTTAAAATATCGATAATAATTTAATAATAAAAATTTTTTTTTAAATTTATAAAATAATTTTTAAAAAATTATTTTATTTTTCATTAAGTAATAAATTATTTTTTATTGATCAATTAATTTTTTAATAAATACTTAAAAATATAAAAAATATTTTTCGCAAAACAAGCATAATATTATTAGATATTCTTCGGCAGGAGAGCCAACAATGACTTTTTTGGCCAGAAAGCATGCTCTCGCGTGTATCATACTTCCAGCCATTGTGGTCCCCATCACCAGAAGCCAAACCGAAGTCTTCTCTTGGAACTTTTTTTTATTGCGAAAAATAATCATTAGTAATGATATATTTTTAAAAAAAATACTAAGAAGCAGTAAATTATAAACCAATGATATTATAGTGTTTTTAAAATTTGTTTATTTGATATTATCAGGATTCAATCGTAATTATCAAAATTAAAATTTAATAATTTTAATAAATTTAAAATTTTTTTATTTGTTGTTAAGAATTGAATAAGCCAGCTCAAAATTTCCGCATGGTCATATAAATAAAATTAAAAATTACAAGAGAAAAATAAAATAAAATAATTTTTAAAATTTTATTTTCCGTAATTTCTTCAATACGCGCTATAAAGTTGGCTTCAAATGAAAATTGCTATTCCCATTGGGTAATAATCATTGAACCAGAAATGGTACACAAAATCAAATTCAGTAAAAAGTGTTCAGTCAATTGCCATACTTAAATTAGGTTTCATATTCTTTATTCTTCGCTTTCTCTTTCTCACTCGGTTAAAAAATAAAACAGAGTTTACAGTTCGCTTTTAAATATTAAAGGCAAAATCTTTTTCCATGTTCTAAACTTACCAATCACATTCCTTAATCACTCGCTCTCTCTCCCCCTAAATTCACCCGTTAATTACAATCTAAACTTCTTCCTCTCTATCTCTCATATTTCTGTCATTTTAGTTTCTGGGTTTTGTCCAAAACCGTGAAATAGAGTGTCTAATCTTGCCAAAAAAAAAAAGAAAAAAAAAACTGTTAAAAATGACAGTAGAGCGAGTAATCAGTGAAACAAAGGATCAGTTTCCCATTGGCATGCGAGTTTTGGCCGTTGACGATGACCCAACTTGCCTTTTACTGCTCGAGACTCTTCTTCGTCGATGCCAGTACAATGGTTCGTTTTTTTCTTAAACCTCTACTTTTATACGAGTTTATAGAAACGGGTTCTTGGTTTTCTGATTTTCTGTTGAGTATTTGCAGTTATTTTGGTTATTGGTGTTTGTTGGTTTCCATTGAGGTGAAATCTTTGTAAACTTTGGGGACTTCGTTCACTGCATTAGCATTCTAAAAATCTAAAGAAAGATCCCATTTTTCGGTTTCTCTTTTTTCTTTTTTTAAATTTTTCATGATTTGGTGATTTCATGTTATTAAATCTCCAATAAAAATAAATCAAGCCTTTGGATAATTTTGGCATGTTGGATTCTTTTCATGAGAATTCTAGTTCAATCCTTTTTTTTTTTTTTTTTGAGCAGTCTAGTTCAATCTTTTAATTTGCTAGTATTCATATATTGATTCAGTTGACTGTATTTGTGGATTTTGAATCTTTAAAAATGTTAAACAAAGATGGTTCATTCAGTGTAAATGTGTATTTGCAGTTACCACAACAAGTCAGGCTATCACAGCATTGAAGTTGTTGAGAGAAAACAAGAACAAGTTTGACTTGGTCATCAGCGACGTCCATATGCCCGACATGGATGGTTTTAAGTTACTTGAGCTTGTGGGGCTTGAGATGGACCTGCCTGTCATAAGTAAGCTAACAATAATACTCTTTGCTTTTTGTTTTTTTGGCTTCTTTTAAATTCTTTTGACATTTTTATTAAGTTCTAACATTTGAGGCAAACTGTTTATCCTTAAATTCCAGATTTTGAATGATTTTCAATACAGCTTTCATCATTTTGGTTATCCCATGCATAAAAAAAAAAATTCTTAAAATTTGGATTTTGGATTGATTTTCATTAATTTAACATTAGCCAATTCAAAGTCGATTAGAAAGCTGATAAATTCATGAACTTGCTTTCTTCCAATTTATGTTAAAGTTTTAGGAACAACTGGATCTTTATTTTAATTAATGATATAAAATGCCTTCAGTGTTATCTGCAAATGGTGATACCAAGCTTGTGATGAAGGGGATCACTCATGGAGCTTGTGATTATTTGCTGAAACCTCTTCGAATTGAGGAGCTGCAAAATATCTGGCAACATGTAGTCAGAAGAAAGAAATTTGACAGGAAAGACCGGTATAATTCTGGCAGCCAAGACAAGCCTCATACTGAGGCTGCAGGGATAGGAAATGTTGATCAGAATAGGAAGTTCAATAAAAAGCGGAAGGACCAGAATGAAGATGAGGATGAGGATCATGATGAAAATGGGCATGATAATGAGGATCCATTAACCCAAAAGAAACCTCGTGTTGTTTGGTCAGTGGAGTTGCATCGCAAATTTGTTTTAGCAGTTAACCAATTGGGCATTGACAGTATGTTCCTCGACTTCTCAGCTTTAGCTACATATATGGCATAACTATTATTACTATCGTTTTGTTGACTCACATGTCTATCCCCCATTTTTAATGTGTAATAACTCTTATTATTATCATTTCAGCTATTATCCAAGAATATTCTGATCATTTGAGATGATATTTCACCTGTTAAATCCCTGCATTATAAATTTCTACTCTTAACATTTATTATTGATATTTCACCAATCAATTATTGGGTTAAAGAATATTTCTATTGGTGAAAATTCAGTTCTAGGTCTTCTGGCTTATTGTTTAATTTTGCAGTGAATTTATGTATGAATGAACCTTTTAGTTTTAACTTTTAACATGGTTATAATGCAGAGGCTGTACCTAAAAAGATCCTAGAATTGATGAATGTTGAAAAGCTTACCAGAGAAAATGTTGCCAGCCATCTCCAGGCATTAATTCTTAACTTTTCTGCCATAGTTACTATGATCCAAAACTTACCAGGAAGCTAACTATCTCATTTTTTGTGGTTGCAGAAATTTAGGCTTTACCTAAAAAGACTCAGCTGTGTGGCAACCCAGCAAGCTAACATGGCTGCTGCCTTAGGCAGTGTAGATTCTACCTATTCACGGATGGGGTCTCTGAATGGACTTGAGAATTTCCATACTTTGGCTGGATCTGATCAGCTTCACAATGCAGCCTTTAGATCTTTCCCACCTAGTGGGGTGCTTGGAATATTGAACACACCTGCTGGGCTAGGTATGCATGGCCTTCCTTCTCCAGGAATGATTCAATTAAGTCATGTGCAAAACTCGGGCAGTACCTGTAATGATCAGAGCAAGTTGCAATCTTTTGTAATTTCTGGAAACCATAATGCTAACATTCTACAAGGGATGCAAATGTCATTAGAACTTGATCAACTACAAAATAACAAGGGTGTTAGCCATATTGGAGAGCAGCCGACTGCCAATAATACGACTGTTTTCCCTGTTTCTGTCAGTTTAATTGATGCAAGAATAACTGGATGTTCCAATAATCCACTTATTGGTATTAAAAGCAAATCCTTGATGTTAGAAGGAAGCTCTCAGCAGGCCACTTTGCATGCTAGTGCCAGTAATTTGAGGGACAGTGTTTCTGCAATGGGCTACCAAAACGGGAATAATTTATCTGACTTTACTTCCGTAGCTCCCGCTCCCAATCAATTGTGGGATTCAAAAGCAGATTTACAAGGCCAAGCATGCCCAATCAGCTGTAATGCAGGGCAAATAATCAGAAGTGCTCCTCAAGAATTGAATGACCCTAGAAAAGATGCCCCTTACCAATTAAATGTTTTGTGTTCAATAAATTCTTCGATCCCTGTTAATGGTGCTATGGTTCAGTTGGGCCAGTGCTTGGACCGAAATAACCCAATTCTCTGCAGAAATATGGACTTGGATTCCATTGGACCACCAAATTTTGTTGATCCCTTATCCATCAAGCATGGTGAAGGTGACAACTCAGCTTTGGAGTCGTCAGCTATTGAAAAGGATGGGTATCTTATAGTCCAACCAAGGCCACAGGGAAGTTACATTCCTGATAACATTGGCTCCTTGGAAGATCTGGCCAATGCAATGATGAGACGGGTAAGATTAGTTGTATCTTTTTTTTTTGGCTAGTAGTTTCATCTTTAGTTGATATTTAAATTATATTTCTTAGTTTCAGCCATCAAATTAGCCCACTAAAGGTACTCAAAGACATGGATGCATGCTGAAAGGAGAAACTTTTTGGGCAAATAAACAAGTGATTTGTACATCTTACATATGGATGCCAATTGACAGACTTAAAGTTATTTCTCTCCGATGAAACAATTCTAGAATGAAATGCCAAAGCATGCTCTACCAATTTAGTGAAATGGCATTAGGGCTTATTAGCATTCATTTAGTCTAGAATGTGTTTTCTTCTGGTATACCAGTTCCGCATTCAAATGACTTGAGAGACCTTGAATCTTCTTCTGTGATCTAGTTAGAATATCAAGTATTGATGGACATTTATTTTATACTAACCTTATATATGGATGAATAAGTAGAAAAGATTTCATCTAATAAAATATTACTTAAATCCAGAGTTCATCTTTTCCTTAAATTCAGAAGCAATCCTTTCTTTGCAAATAAGCTTCTATCGTTTAACCTGAGATGTAGACAGTGAATTGCTCTTGTACCTATCTTGCATGTATTTGAACATACAAAAATTGGGTGGATCGGTATCATTTAAATTGCTTAGGACATTCAAACCAAAAGGCAACCCAAACATGAATAGAATAGTTTGTTTATTACTATGTGCTTATTATTCTGTGGATGCAGATCTTTTTCATAATTCATAATATATTCTCTACAAATTATCGTAGGAAAGGATTTTTGTAGCTATTGCGCCTAAAAAATAAAAAGCATAGATTTGGCCCTTGTTAAGTAATTAGGGTGCTCAAAATACTTTGGAATTTCTACTTGATTGAGGGAATTGTTGTTGCTACAATGATGGGCAAGCTAATGTTGACTTCATGTTTATTATGGCTGATATAGAGTTTGCTCCAGGGACATCTCTTTAATTAAAATATGGTCCAACTTTTCACCAAGTGTCTCACTAGCCTGCTAGAATAGGACACATCATTTGCTAATCTTATTACGTTCCTCCCCCTCCTAATTCTGTTGCCAGTCTGCACATGGCTAAAGTACATTAGGTGTACTCCAAATAGATTCTAGAGTCAATGCATCCTGGTCATTGATCTGATTGGAGAAAGAGTCTATAATATTGACATTACTTGTATGAACTTAGATGAATCCTTCATGGTTAGGCTTGAGAAGTTTTTAAATGAGTCCTAAAACACACACATGCTACTTTCTTCCTCCTTTAATACAAGGATGTGTTTTTAATCTTTGTGATAGTAGCTTTATAGTTTCTCCAAATGTGTATCATGGTTTATCTGTCTCGTTTTATCCCATCAATCATGTTAGAGCATAGGATTATTGGATTGAAAATTTGCAGATAAATTCTCTCATTTTCTATTATACCGAGATACCTATAAATTAAAAGGAGCCTGAAGAACTTGGTGGTTTACTAACTTTTAGTAGTTAACGTATATCTCTTGCTGTTTGCTGTTGGATATTGGTGCATCAATAACAATAACCTACATGGATTTACAATTCTGACCATTTGACCATAATTGTGACAGTGGGTATCTTTGTTAATGATGCAGGAGCAAGATAAAGGGAAACCAGCAAATGGCGATTTTGGATGCAATGCTTATTCTCTCAGGACTTGCATATGAGATTAGAATGTAGCTACTAACAGCAAAAGAAGGATCTGCTTTACAAGCATTGCTCCTCTTGATAGTTTTGCCTCATGTAACTGATAACAAATCTATCTATTATCTTATATATGCCATTATCAACCTTTTCTCTGTTCTTTTCTCGTCTATTTCTGGCAAGTTGTAGTTTTTATTCTGTCTTATAACATCTTAAGAGCTCAGTTTTTCTAGTTGATTGAGAAGGGCAACTTCTCCTGCTAGGGCCTGCCTGATATTGTATAATGAATAAATATTAAATGCTTATGGTCCCAACTATGCATTGTGGAAATTTTATAGTGTTTGCTTTTATGTGTACACGCTTTACTTCATGTTTTATGCTAGCTATGTTTCATTATTAAGATTAGTTTCGGATTCTTCAGGACCCCATTTTAAAATTAAGAAGGGGCATCGTTTCTTCAAGAAAAGCGCAGCCCAATATTCTGATACGAGTCCAGATTGCCAACAGGGTTGGTAGGTTGAAACGGTAAGATTTGAATATTTGATTAGTAAGCTTTAAATTCGGATTTCATTGTCAATAGGCTCATTTGGTTAATGATTTGTAATCCAAAGTAAGATTTTATTGTACTTACGACTTGCTAAGTAAGATTTTATTATACTTACGACTTGCTTGATCTTGAACTGGAAAAGTCTTCTCTCATTTTAAATGTTTTTCATTAAAAAAAAAAGAAATTAGCCAATATTATTTTTTACGAAACAACATTTTAATTTCAAATATTATGTATAGTGTAAGAAATTCTAAACAATAGCATTCGGAATGTCATTGTCATGATATCATTCCCTTGTATAGTAATAGTAGTAATCCTAAATCAACTATCACCTCCACCCACTTACTTCCCTCTTTTAACAAAGAAAAATACAGAAAACTATAGGAACTTAATGCAAATTGGTGAGAAAGTAACGAGAGAAAGCATTCAGGGTTTGAGGAAGTAAACCAATCCTCACATCAATGACTCCCAAATCAATGAGATTCTGCATGAAATATGCGACTTGAGCGATTGGAGAGAGCAGTGGAGATGCATAGGCTACTTATCCACGGAAAAAACCAATCCTGTGGAGTGGCATCCCTGTCCAATCAGAGACTAGGGCAGCTCATTCATTCTCTTTTATTATAAAATATTTTATCATCGAACGGTAAATTAAAAAGAGAATAATGCAGAAATTATCGATAATAACATGCTAATGTATGTATGCTAATGAATATCATGTAAAATAAGATGTAATTTAAAAGTTAGATTCTTAAATATAATGAGACCACCCCGACTCTCCAACGTCTAGGCAGAACTTAGGTGCGACTATTTATATTTAATATCCCAATTTACTATTACACTTTTTATTTATTAATCTTACTATTAATGCGAATTAAGGAATCGTGTGAAAAGACTTAACGAAATAAAATTTTCTAAATACCTTATCATTTAGGCGGTATTCAGGAACAAATTACTTCAAATAAAATTTTCACACGTGTTCTTAGGATTGTTAAGAGGTTTTGAGTAAAGGCTTGAGTAGAGGTTTTGAATGTTTGATTTTAAGGTTTAGAGGGTTTTAAAGCTTGAATTTTAGGATATGAAATGTTTAGGGTTTTGATTTTAAAGTTTAGAGATTTTAGGGTTTGGGTTTTGAGGTTTGGAGTTTGGATTTAAGGGTTTGGATTTAGGGGGTTTAGGTTTAAGAGTTTAAAAGTTTGAGATTTTGGATTTTGGGAGGTTTTGGATTTTAAGGGTTTTGGATTTTAGGGGTTTTGGATTGAAGGGATTTTGAATTTTAGGGGGTTTTAAAAACTTGGGATTTTGAAAATTAAAAATTAGTGTTTAAGGTTTAAGTAAAAAGCGAACACCTCTAAAATCTCCATCATCTAGGCGGACTTTCGGAGCAAGTTTAATTTTTTTATAATTTTTTAAAATTAATTAAAAATTTTTATGTGTTTTTTTTTTTGAAAATTTATTCATAATAATTCCTCAACATCTAGGCGGAATTATTTTTTAGAAAAATATTCTTTTATTCCCTCCAACATTTAAGTAGGAAAAATAATAAAAATTATTAAATTTTTTTTAGCATTTTTAATATATATATTTTTAATTATTACTTGTTTTTAATTTTATTATTATTTAAACAATTAACCATTATTCCATCAAATTTAAAAATTTATCATGCATCAATAAAAAAATACTTAAAATATCAAAAATAATAATATAAAAAATTAAAAAAAAAATTTTTTTACCTAAATCGGACCGGTTAACGCTGGTCTAGACCGGTCTGACCGGTTCGGTTCAATGGACGGCTCGAGCGATCCAGCGGTTCAGATCGATTCACCGACAGTTCGTCCAAACCGACTAGAGAGTGGCTGAGGCGGGTTGGCGGGTTGGTTTACGCGGATCTCGGGTCAGGTTCGGTCCATGCGCGGATCCTTTTATGCTTGAAATTGCGTCGTTTTGGCCCTATGCTTAAAATGACGCCGTTTTACTTTTATGCTTTCTTTATAAAAGAAGCCCTTTATTTTGTTTTAGTTCATTTTTTTGTTTCTGAGAAAAAAAAATGAAAGAAGGGCTCTGGACATAGGTCTGGCGCCCTCACCGTCCGGGCGCTAGAGCACTGTGCCAGCCGTCGCCTGGTCCACCATCATCGGTAGTCGAAAACTTTAAAAGTGATCAGGAGGTTCCTTTCGACGTGATTTTTCCAAATCTGGTCTCCTCTTCGTCGAAAATGACCTCGATCGACGTAGATCGGGGTTCTAAGTTTTTTATTGTTCTTCTTTTTTTTTTATAAAAAATACTCAAACTAATAACTTTTCTTTTTTTGTTGTAGGTACCTTCTTGACGCTGGGTTCTTCGTCGATTCGACGAGGACTGTGGTTTTTTTTTTTTTTGGTGTGTTTTGGTAGTTTATTTTTGCAGCGTTACTCCCTTTCTTATCTCCATTTTTCTTTGTTTTGGCTAGGAGCTCTATTTATAGAGCTCCAACCATGTATATTTGGAGGAAAAGGCATGGGGCTTGGCATGAGGTGTAAGCACGAGCCCCATGCCTCTTTATTTCTTTTGTATTTTCTGGTAGTAGGGTAGGATGAACAGGTATGGGATGGGTGGTGGGCCTGGTGGCAGTGGTGCCGGGGATGGCACCACTGTCATCCTCGATTTTTTTTTATTTTTTATTTTCTGCTATTCTTCTTCTTTTTATTTTGTATATTTTTTTTTGTATTTTGTATTATTATTTTTATTTTTTTGGGACAAAAATGATGTCAATAGCTATCCTTCTTTGCACATTACTGAGAATCAGGAATAGGGCAAAGACAAAGACAACGATTTTATCCAAAAACAGATTGTGAATTTTTTTTTTTAAAACAAAATGATTGGGATGACACCATAAGTTGAAAAATAATGAATCGATTGAGATAATAGTGCGAATCGAATTTATGCCCAAAGGTCTTAGAAATCATGCCCATAGGTCTTAAGAATCATGCCCAAAGGTCTTACAGAATCAATTGGGATAACATCACAAGTCAAAAAATAAGAAATTGATCGAGATAACACCGTGAATTGAAATTATGCTCGGAGATCTTACAGAATTGCCCGGAGGTCTTAAAAATCATGCCCGAAGGTCTTACAAAATTGACTAGGATAACATCGCAAGTTAAAAATAAACAATCGATCGGGACAACACCGTGAATCGAAATTATACCCGAAGGTCTTAAAAATCATGCCCGGAGGTCTTACAGAATCATGCTCGGAGGTTTTAGAATCTACTGGGATAACACCGCAAGTCAAAAGATAAAGAATCGATCAAGATAACATCGCGAATCGAATTTATGCCCGGAGGTCTTCAAAATCATACTCGGAGGTCTTACAGAATCGATTGAGATAACATCAAAAGTTAAAAGATAAATAATCGATCAGGATAATACCGCGAATCAAATTTATGCCCGGAGATCTTATAGAATCATGCCCGAAGGTTTTACAAAATTGCCCAAAGATCTTAGAAATCATGCCCGGAGGTCTTATAGAATCATGCCCGGAGATCTTAGAAATCATGTCTCGGAGGTCTTATAGAATTGACTGAGATAACATCGTAAGTCAAAAATAAAGAATCGATTGGGACAATACCGCGAATCGAAATTATGCCCGAAGGTCTTAGAGATTATGCCCGGAGGTCTTACAAATCTCAAAATCTTTGAATGCTCCTCATAATCAGAGGCAATGAAACTTTAAAATTTTAAAAATCTTTTAATCTTGAAAGTCATGCACAGAGGCTTTTAGAAATTATGCCCAGAGGTCTTACAAATCTCAAAATCTTTGAATGCTCCTCATAATCAGAGGCAATGAAACTTTAAAAACTTGAAAATCTTTTTAAACATGGCTTTTGCCTTATCAAAGATTTTTGATACTCTAAAGGTCTTTTTTGGATGAAGGTTCCCTCTAAACAGAGGCTTTGAAATCTTGATTGAAAACAGTTCTTCTTAAACAGAGACTTTAAAACTTTAAAAACATGCCCCTTTTTTTTTGTTTTTAATTGTTACAAAGTTGATAAATGCAAACATGATACAAATGTCTATTCTCATCAAACGATGCTAATGGAAATGTCGATGCAAATGTCAATGCCAACGTAAGAATGCAAATGCTTGTTACATTTGACTTTTTCACAATGTAAATGACAATGTCCTTTTCATGTAGATGCCCCTACAAATACCTTTTCTTAAAATACAGATGCTATGATGCAAATGCAAATTCTTCTTATGGTGTGAATGCAAATGTCTTATACAAATGCCAATGTAAGTGATGCAAATACAAATGTCTTTCTTGTGATGCAGATGCAAGCGATGCAAATGCAAAGAATTTTCTTGCCCCCTCTTTTTTTTTTGAAAAATTTCTGTTTAAATTTTTATTGTTTCATTTTCACCCAAAAAATGATCTCAGTATTATGTACAAAATGCTTCAATAATCTTAAAAATTTTCAAAAGTGATCAAAAATTACCCCACATAAAGTATTTTCGTAATTAATGAAAAATTTAGAACTCAAGACTTTCAAATCTCTTGGAAGTCGGTGATCACTATTTGGAAAGCTTATGGATGGGAGGATAATTGACAATTCAACTCCTTTTACTAGTGGGCATATATCATGAAAAGGCTCGACAAGGTTTGCAAAGATTTCAACTTGGGCTCACAAAAAGAGATAATTTTTAAAACACTTTTTTTTATTGAAAATGTGATACTCCAATGTGAGTCAAAACTAGCCATTACTTTTCAAACAAGATTTGAGAAGAAGATAAGGCTGGTCATTTTTTTTTTTTAGGAAGGTCTTTAATGGGTATTGGTCCTTCAAGAGGCTTTATAGCGAAACCTTTATTTCGGATAGAACCTTGGAACTATGAAATTCATTATGAGGCCTCAAAAATGACTTTAGCTCTAAACTGCCCTTTTGGGGTTTCACCTTAGAGCTATATATATATTTTTTGTCAATGAAGAATTCAACAAGTATATACAAATTCAAGGATATTGCTCTTCAATCCAAGTATCCACATTTGATCAAAATGAGCTTTTCAAGGTGTGTAATGTAGGCCGAGGTAAAGGGTTCTAAAAGAATGGATAAA